TCTACTTTTCTGTATGGTATCGATAGTTGCAATTCCTGTAGTTTTATTTCTTTAAAATGTTTCATTTTTTCAGGTTGGTGGTTTTGATTACATTTTTGGCCATCTTGACGATATTATCTCGTACTTGTGTACGTGGGTTTCTGAAACTTATGATAAGTCTATCATCACAGGTAAGGATTAGATTGTTTGCTTCAGTTTTTTATTTTCTGGAAGACATTTTATTGACTAAACTTCTGTCAGGAGAAAGATTAATCGACTAAAATTTTCTTTGCAGACTAATGAACTCTATCAATTGGCATCAGTGGCATTCTGCTTACTTGTTGCATGGGTTTGACTTATTTCCCTATTCTTTCTGCATTGTAATTGACACATTCTTGGTCATTTGTTCTATATATGAGTATGTGACTATATTATTTTGGTATTGTCTGCTTAACAATTTTTGGTCGTGTTCATCCCATATATTCAGTTGCCTATAGAATAAAAAAGATGTAGATAATTGCTTCTTTCTCTAGTTGCTCTTAAAATCCACTGATTTTGTATGTGCTGTAATAGAGAATGTTTTGACTTCTCAGTGTAGTGATAAGCTGGGTCTAAGCCTTGAATTGGGTTCTTTCGCTGCGGGAGTGATGATATCGACGACAGATCTTGCTCAGCATACACTCGAGCAAGTAAGGCTTATAGTCAAATATCATGTTCCATGAGTTAATGTAATAACATTACTAAATTGTCCTTGGATCCCACAGCGGGAATTTCGTGAGTGGGCTGAAGGAGAGAGATATTTGGTTCTCACAGCAAAACAGTCAGAATATACTGAATGGAAATGAATCAATGAAGAAACTAAGAATTTCCTGTGAGGACCAAAACCTTATTCTCTCCCCTAGTCTTGCCCCTCACAAATGAATTATGACATAATAATTGTATATTACTTTTTGGAGGAAATTGCAGTTCATGTCTGTATAATAATTCTCATCTATTTTTTTAGGTGGAGCCCATTCGCAATTTCTTTGCTGCTCTTTTTCTTGCAAGCATTGGAATGTTAATTCATGTCCATTTTCTTTGGAATCATGTTGATATCCTACTAGCAGCTGTACTATTGGTGATCGTGATAAAAACCATTGTGGTTGCCATTGTTGTTAAGGCATTTGGATATAGTAATAAAACTTCACTTCTGGTAAAACTTGACCCAACTACTATCACATTTATAGCTCCATTTTGACTATTTAACTGTTGCTGAGAAGGTTTCTGTTTTTCGATATTTGTAGGTCGGAATGTCCCTGGCTCAAATTGGAGAATTTGCTTTTGTTCTCTTAAGTCGAGCTTCTAACCTTCATCTAGTTGAGGTCAGTAGCTATTTGGTTTCATGTTTGTCACATTGGTTCATCCATTTAAGCTGTAGCCACCTTGCCACAAAATCTGTGATTGTGTGGGTGTATATAAATGTGCATGCTGAATTGCATGAGCTGCAAAATAAAATTTAGTATTTCTAAGAATTTTATTTTCCATTGATTTCAAAAAGGGAAAGATCTTAGACTCAGTTACATCTTTTTAACTGACTTTCCAGTAATAAGTGGGTTATAATTATGACCTTGATCTTTCTCTCTCTTTCCATGTGCATATACCTACTATCTCGATTTCATCTGATAAAAATTGCAGAATATTGGATTTTTTTTGGCTAAATGTAGCATGTTGGATTTAGTTGAATAGTGGAGTTTAGTCAAGCTATTGCATATTATAGACTTTCCTTTTCTGGTGCTAGATTGCAAGTAATGGGAGTTGAACACCAAGGAATATAGTGAGATCTTTTGCTAAATAAGGCAAATGGTTTTGGTGTATATTGTATGTGAATCCAAATATATGCACTTTTGCCTAATAGTGAATGTTGAACACAAGTTTGTATATTATATTCCTTTTCTTTTGGTGATAGACTGCTGGTAACTGGAATAGATTCCCAAGTAACTGCATGTGGGGAGATCTTTTGCCAAATGAACCAAATTGTTTTGATGCATATAATATGACTTAAGTCCAAATGCATATTTTTGGCTAACATTATGAATGTTGAGTGCAAGTTTTCCTTTTCCGTACTATGCAACTGAGGACTGTGACTCCTGCAGGGTAAATTATATCTGCTGCTTCTTGGCACAACAGCTCTGAGTTTGGTATGTGAGCATTCTGAGCATTTTTCTAATGTAATTCAAGATGAACTGCAAAATTGAAAACTTTGTATAGGTGTTCTTGTTAACATTTCCTTCTTTGTTTTAACAAAACTTCTTCTAGTTGACCTTCTTGGTCGGTATTTGTGTACAATCTTTTTCCATTGTGCACAAATGGCGAAAAGATGAATGCACCACTTGGTTATTCATTGTAAATTTACTAGGCATGGTCAAGGGTATGGGGGCTTTAACTGAATGAATAGCATGTGTAGCATGCAGGCTTCTGATATTTTCTTTTGTCTGTTTACCTTGGGAAAAAATTGAAAACTAGATGGCCAAACTGAAATGCTTAGATTTCAGTTGGAATTCTGATGTAGCACAGCAGAATAAGATTTGTAAGGATAGAACTATGGAAAAGAAAAGAGAAACCAATATACAATCATAGGGATTGACAACAACCACAATATTACGAACTTAGTTCAATGAATTGGTAATTTTTATTCATTAACAATCTGTTTAACAATGATGGACCACCTATATATTCACAACGTGTTTATGTGGCCTATTAATATCAGAATTCTTAAATTTGGTAAAACAACAGAGAAATCAAATTAAAGAAGAAATAAACCTTCAGAAAGTATGAAGACATGCTAAACTGTAATAGTAATGGTAACTATTCTGTATTACTAAAAACTACTAGACAGTCCTACATCCTTATCCCTTTCATAAAAATCTAACTCTTACAAGAAATCCTGGATAATAGTCATAGTGGGTTTGGTACCTCAAAACAAAAAAAAACATTTATAGTAGGTTTGAATCCATTGCAAGAAACCACTCTTTTACTTGGCATAGATTGCTTGATTTTGGACAAACCCTCCGTCTCAACAGAATTCATACAGACCTCCATTAGCAGAGGTAATATACCAATTAACCAAAATATCTCCAACAGCATTTGTTGGCAGTGATAGCAATGTTGGAGCATTAATAACTTGAATATTTGCAAAAGTGGCAATTAGAAAAAGCAGGAGAATTAAAGATGGCTCAATTAGGGAACAAGTCCTTTATGATGAAAACTTGACTAATATTCACATAACCAGGTAAATGAAGTAAACAAGTATCAGGTCTGAGTCTCTCAAAATGAACGAAGGGTCTATAGCTCGAGGGTGTAAATCTTAACCAGGACAAGATACTATAGGTTTAGTGAAAATTATGACGTAGTTGCCAATGAATTCCTTGACTTTACTTTATACAGTGGAAATGACCTTATAATATGCATTACTAATTGTAATCTTACATTTAATCTCTGTAAGCAAAACTGGAATATGTTGGGTAATGGATATGGTTGGCTTAGAAAGATAGGCATTGTGGAAAAAAATTATAAAAGAAATAATTATGTGATTTTTTTCAACAAAAAAAAGCAATGTGATTAGTATCCATGTAGAAAGGTCAAAAGGCTTGTTCCAATGAACTGACTACACTACTGTTATAAGCAAACTTCAGACTGCCAAAAACTGAAGCCCAAGTGTCCTACATTGGTTTGAAAATCCACCTAAACAAATCTGCCAAACTACAGCTAGCTATCTTATTGAGCACACCATCAACATTACTCTCAATACTCACACTTAGGAAGGAATGGTACTTATTAGAGAATTTGACCCACTTATCATGGCTATAATGCAAGTTTCTTTCGATGACAAGTACTTCAAAGTTAAGTGGTCCAAGTGTGAGCCAAGGTTCCTAGGAGTGGTACAAAATCTCCATGTATGAAGGTAGTTTACTGCAATAAAATGTTCCTTGTCAAAGTTAAGATACTCTTGTCCAACTTCACCACCAATCTATGGCTGAAGACTATAGTAGGACTATATGTACTAACCATGCTTCTACCTCCATTCCTGAAGAACCACAAGAACTATCAAACAATATATGCTTCAAAATAGGAGATGTATCACATAAATCTAAAAAGTACATATGACACTGAAAGAAGGAATGCCCCTTAACAATAATATAAGTCTTGCCATCCCACAAACTTTGGAGATCTGCTTAAGATGATCTAAATGATATGCTTAGAAGGATTAGAGATCACAGGAAACTTAGTAATGAAATGATGTATGATATGGACCATTGTGCTCAGGGAAGACAGAGAAACACTAGAAATACTAAATGACATGATCAACCACTTAAAATAATTCATAATGGAGCTACTTGGCAAATCTCCATACAGAACATAGTCTAACCTTCAATTCATGACACCCAATAGGAAGATTCTTGTTAAAAGCCAACTTAAACGGACTTACAGATTTTATAGATTCTTTAAAGTTAGGGATTGGAAACTCTCCTTGATGATCTTATTGATCTTATTGATGGCTCCACTAGTTAGGAACACATTCCCATTGTCAATTTCCTAGAGGGTCAATAAGGCTGGGACAGATTCCTCAAGTATGGGCTTATTCTTTCCTCTTGAAACTATTTACTTTTTATGGTCCAACCTAGGATGTGAGAGATTATAACTAATTATATCCTTGATGATATTTGACTAGAATACTTGTTATGCATCTCTTCAAGCTACTTACTAGGCAACTCAGTGCAGTTCTCTTCATCAGATTCATTTGTTGATTGAGTTGACTCCCAAAAAAAATTACATTGACTCGAGTGAATCTGGAGACTTATGTCCAGGAGGGTTTTAAAGACATTAAATCAGACACTTTATTCATCTCTTGACCACTATTATACTTTATTTCAACACCATCAGGTGAATCTAAAGGGTTGGATTTCAGGGGGTTAGAAGACAACAAATTACAAGGTTAATAATGTCATAAACAATGTGATGCAGAGCAAGAAGATATTAATTTGGAATAAATTTTCTATTATAAAAATGTTCTATAATTGTTATTTTTTTGTACTTTTAAGTTCTTTAGGTTATTTAGGTTCTTTAGGCATTATAAGATTTTAATTTCTTTTTATGTAAGATTAAAATACGTTAGAAATTAGAATCTTTTAGATTTTCTTTTTTATAATTTTGTTATTAGTTGAGGCATTATAATATTTAATTTTTCTTTTCGGTAAAATATTAAATGTTATAAGAATATACTCTTTTAGATTCTTCTCTTACAACTTTCTTATTACTTGTACTCAATGTCTATGTAAAGGCTAGTAGTCACCAATCAAAAAAAAAGAACGAGATGATAATGAATTAAGAATTTTTTTTATTAGAGTTTTGTTTCCTGTTATTTTCTTTATGTTCATTCTTTTTTTTTTTTTGAGAAAAAAATGTATAGTATATAGTGACAAGGTACCGAAAAAGAGGTACCGCCCATTTGGAAAAGATTTATAATTATGTTAGCATATCAATGATATTCCCAAAATTTACATCACTGATAATGTCATGACCAAGCAAAATAGATCCAAAATAATGAAGTTACCTATTTTTTATGCTAGAAATATTACTCTCAACACTATCAAAAGCTCTACTATTTCTTTCCTTCCAAATGATTCAGAAAACATACAGAGGTATCAAGTTAGCAATTTTATTTTTTACATATAAACTATCCCACGCCCAGATTTCACCCTCCACGGACCTAGTCATAACCCAATCCAACCCAAAAGGCCATAAACAAAGCTCCAAAGACTATGAGCAATCGGACACCACAAAAGGAGATGGTTACATGTTTCCTCTATATTTAAGCAGCAATAACAACCATTAACCCTTTCTCTACTTCTCAGCTTGCTGATAGTTAAAATCCTCTCTGAACAAGGCTCCCCAAGCCAAAAAGGCATTGTGGGGCGGAGCCTTGGTTTTCCAAATTTGCTTGTCATGAAAGTTACATCTCAAAACATTCTCTTTTCTATTCAAATGATGATAATATGACTTGACAGAAAAAATGCCGTTCTTTTGGAACTTCCACACAGCCTGGTCATCAGAATTAGAAACAGACAGCTCAGCCAACAACAACAACAAATCTTCAGATTCTTGAACTTCCCAGTCATTCAAATTTCTGCATACATTAATCACAAACAATACTGTCATTAACAACTCGGTAGGCTTCCTCAACTACCATCTGTTTGGACTGGGCAATGCTGAAAATTCTGGGGAATCATATGCAGAGGTAGACATCCCCAATCCAATCGTCTTCCCAGAAAATGATCCTATTTCCTCTTCCCAGTTTCCAAGTTCTTCGATGTGTAGTAAGAAATTGCCCCATTGCATCAGAATTCTTCTCCGCAAACTTCTTTGATGTGTAGCAGGAATTCTGTAGTCTTCTTTCCTATCCATGTACATGCCCCACCTAGCATGAACTATCTTTCTCCATAAGTTATTAACTTCTGTCAAGTACCTCCACAATCATTTTGCTTGTAAAGCAATATTCATGTTGACCATAGACCTAATTCCAAGACCCCCCAAAATTGATAGATTCTTTTACATCTTCCCGCTTCACAAGACGATATTTTCTCCCTTCATCACTATCACCCCAAAGGAATTTACATTGTATTGCTTCCAATCTTGTTGCAACCTTAACAGGGATAGTGATCAACGATAGGAAGTAAATAGGGAGATTAGCCATTGTACTTTTAATTAAAGTATATCTCCCCCTTTTAGAAAGAAAATTCCTCTTCCATCCCGCAAGTCTTCTTTCAAACAATTCAATCACCGGATCTCAAGATAACTGATCTTTGTACTTAGCACCAAGAGGAAGGCCAAGGTACTTGAACGGAAATTCTACCTTTTTGCACCCCATAATCGTAGCAAAAGAACCACCATCTCTACTACCACCAATTCTTGCCAATTCAGACTTATGTAAATTAATCTTCAGACCGGACACAACTTGGAAGCACAAAAGCACACATCTCAAGTGCAGAATGTTTCTCAACTCCAGTTGACAGAAAATAAGAGTGTCGTCAG